GATCATGCCTCAGTGGTCTTCATCAATCATTATTGCCCTATCATGGCTTGACGAAATCCAAGAACCATTATTTGAATAACTGTTTTAGACTATAAAAGATTTATTGGAACTAGCAAACCTTTTGCGCTCCTAACTTTTCACCATAAAAGCAGAAGGTAAATCCCTACGGATCTACTTATCCAATTCTCTAACGAGAAAGTTGGGTTGCAATGTCCACAAATCAATGTTCCGAACTTATGTCAATCATAGTCTAAGTCAAAATAACCTCACTCCCCAGGAGGAAGTCTTCTCATGGTCTACACTTTCCTCAATGGTGCGACTTTTCGGTATCTAGCGAGCCTTATACCTCAACAATGACTATCCAAATTACGCATAACTTTCGAACAGCTTCGCGTCATAATGGAAAGTCAACCAAATTATAGAAATGGTTAATTCTCAAAGACTTTGTCTTAAACTGCGCAACATTAATCCACTTTCTAAAAACAGGGGATTAGAGCCTTTGGCATTATGCTAGGCTCTTTATCATCTTGCGGAGCAATCATGAATGTTTCCCTCTCAATCACCTAGTGATGACGTGAAAAATTTTTACATTCGCTACCACGCAACTAAGAATGTAGAGTATTCTTCTCTAATTGAGTAATCCATTAGTAGGCACATCACTCCCATTGTCCCTAGGATATTGGAAATTTCTTTCCATTCTCAACTAGGCTACATAGAGCGCTATGCTTAGAATTCTCTATCTTATAGAGTTCCAAAAACTTTATTCACGTCACCTTTACTAATAAAACTTTATGTGACTTAGTTACACTACCACAAAGCTGCTTACCTATATGCACATTTACTGAAGGGTTTACATGACCGCATACAATAATGCGCCACACGACCTTTTGTGCTTACAAGATAGCATACAATAATGTGCTATAGAACCCTAGGTCTTAACTTCGCAATCTTATGAGAAGTAAAATAAAGATAAGCTGCTTAACGATTACAGATCGCTCATAGATTGCTCTCCGCTAACCCATTACTCAAATGGAGTGTAAAATCTGATATAGAGGGCACTTAGTTAGGGATATAGGCAACAAACTAGTGCAATTCCCAATTGGGAAACATTTTGCGTCATTATCCACGTAACATTAATAATATTTAATTCCTTATCTCTACTACACCATTGTGTTGTTGAGTACTAGGAATAATCAATTTTCTAAGCATCCATTTCTATTCACAGAGTTTTCTAAAATAACTCAAATAGATACTCGCCACCTTGGTCAAAACTAAAAGCACGAAAGCTATATTTAATTGATCTCAACCTCATATGTGCAATGTCAAAAATCATCTCAAAATTTTTGACTTATGGGAGATCAAATAGTCTTGACTCAGATGCGTATCGTAATCTAGAAATGTGTCGAGATTGAGGCTTAGCTATCATACCCTTACACATATCTAGTCATAAATATCATAGTAGACTAAATGCGCCACAACAAATGACCTTTTACGGCTTTCCTACTTACTTGTGCACACCCATTGCAAACAAAGTTACACATTCACATGAGAGCAGGATGTCATAAGCGAGTGGGCCCGAGAAGGCCTACTCAAACCATCGTGTCATCATCTCATTAATGTGATTAAGTATAATAAGCCATTGGTTCATGACCAATGTCATAAACTAATTCCAATCATCTTAATGTGTGAGTTCTCGAAGACAAGTTTTAAAGGTTTAGGCGCAACTAGGTAATGACTCACGACTAATTCATATTCACTAGATCATAAAAGGATGTCATGATATCAAGTGCGCCTAAGTCGCAAATTTAACTAGTAAGTGCTAATCCCCTGCACCTTCAAGTCAATTTTATTCTCCATACACTTTACTACATCTGGTTGAAAGATGACGATACTCCTCTTGCCATATCTATTTCTCACTTCATGGTTACTTGCAATTAATTCCACTATCCACAAGAATGAGAGAATAAGCTATCAACTATGACAGCTCCTGAAGTAACTTAAGCGCGAATTAGACTAAAGAGTCGAATTCAACACAATACTCTCACGAGCCATGCGTCAAATTCTTAGAGTCATAACAACCTTGTCGGCCTTGACCTTTTCATTATTATGCTGCAACGTTCACGCTTAGTGGTAAACGTTATTCAAAAACGTTAGCCTAGCTAAGGAATCATACAAAGAAGCCTTTCCTCATGTCTCACACTCAAGTGTGGAAACAGTAAGTGTCCACACTTAGACAAGTTGGCAATGCTAATAGATTTTGCAGCCACTAAACGCTAATCTTTTCACTTAGTATTAATAGATTTTGCAGCTACTAAGCGCTAATCTTTCACATAGTGTTAATAGATTTTACAGCTTCTAAGCGCTAATCTTTTAACTTCAGTGATATTTCAACGCACACTATTATAGTGCTGAAATTTTGCTCCATCCACCCTCAATAATTGGGTAGGAGCAAAACACTGCTCATACTGTCTACTCGTCTTACACTTAATGACTAATTTATTAAGCTCGCATTTCTTGGATGACGTAACTCTTGAATGTTACTTCATCAATGATGTAACATTATTTACAAGTTAATTACAAAGTCAATCCATGCAGCTCAATAGTCAAGATCATATACAGATCTATTGAGGGCTTACTAATTTTATAAATCCAAAACTCGCCAACCAAAACTACGTAGGTGCCGCTAACCATAGCGCACACATTAGTTTTTATTATGCCAAACAAGGCAAAAACCACGGGACTTTGAGTCATGTTTCCTTACTTTGCTCAATTAAGGCTTGACCTAAAGTCTCCAAGACTTTTGCTCATCTAAAGAATGAGATTACATTGTTTACATTTGAACATCTTTACTAAGTCTAGGTCAACCAATTAACTTCCATAAGCTAAGTCAATTTAGAGAGAAATTCGCATTGGGGATTAATTTGATTAGCATAATATAATTTTGCCACAAAAATCTAAATTAAATAGTGACAATATTACACAAGTCGCAAGATCGAAAATCTGCTATGCTCGTAATCATCTTTTGCGCCACATGTGACAATTATTCAAAATTTAATTTAATTTATGCGCAAAATATTGATTTTCGGGAGTTAATCTACAAAGATTTCTCTCAACTGAATAACCTCCCACTGACTATGGCATGTCTAAAAGCATGACAAAATTTTTTAATTTCATACAATAGTATCATAATGTAGATTCACAACCAACTCATGCTATGTCACAATTAATAATGGAATTTAAACAAATGACAATTAATCATGCTATTCTAATTACAACATATTAGAAACTCTAGGAAAAAAAAAACAATATACTGTATTTAATATTTAAATTATTCCATAACAGTAAGTATATCACTTCTGAAAATTTCTAGAATTTTCTGGTATTTTCTGGAATTTTAAATAACTAATAAATATACATAAAATTAGAAATAAATATTCCAGAATCTGGTAAAATGAAATAACCATACCAGTAAATAGTAAACTACAACAATAGTCTACCATAAAAAATTCAGCCCTAGAAACTTAATCATGCAACACCAAATGCATTTTAAAGCAGAAATAATGAATTATTATTTGAGAAAAAATATTTTTTATTTTCATAAAATTTTGAAACTTTTACAGAATATAGAAAATTTAATTCTGAGTCTAATGGTCCCAACCACGCTTAAAACAAAGCTATAACAAATTAATTATGACCATTTAATGCGATTCAGAATTAAAAACAAAACAAACAGAGCCTTAACTTCAGTAGCCAAGCCGGCAGAGAAAAACGGCGCGGCTCAGCGCGCGGCTCATCTGCGGCTCAGCACGAGGCCCAGCAGGCAGCTCAGAAGCCAGCTTAGAAAGCGGCTCAGCGCGCGGCTCAGAGAACGGCCCAGTAAGCGGCTCAGCGCACGGCGCGCGAGTGGACAGCGTGGCTGACGCGCGTGAAACCGCGTGGCAGCGCGTTCCCACCGCTGACGGCGTCATCTGGCACCTGAGGCACACGCGTCGCCTTCTGGGGTGTTTTCTGATTCGATTTCGGTACTCCCAAACTCTATTTTTCACAACAAAAACATTTATGGCATCAAAAATCACATTTAATAAATATAAAAATGAGGTGTACTACACTCTCAATCTAATGAGAGTTGAAATTTTCCTCCTTTATAACATTCATGTATATAATGTGTACATATATATATATATATATATAAAATATACACATGATTAGAGAAAACACGAAAATGCTCATTCACGCTCTGATACCAATATAAATCAAAGCATAAACGTAGCGGATGAAAAATTATGGTCATACCTTTTTCTGTAGAATCTGAATTGAAGGATCTCGTAGGTAAATCATGTGCTTCCTGAATCTGATCAATCAACCCAGTAATAGAGTGATATTACAGAGTGAATATCACCCACACAAGTCACAGTGCAAAATGGTTCTTGATCGTTGTATTTTAGGAGAGAGTCAGTATATAGGAAAAACATACGACATATATTGTTTTTCTCTTAATCACCCATATCCCATATTATATCAGATATGTTGGATAATATCTCATCTATCCATATCAGTTGATATGATAGATGTGGATATCCTGAGTGGTTATCCAAATAAGTTTCGAATTCAAATTCAAATTCAAACTTACATGAATAAGGTTCAAGAGGTTCAAAGGATCATGCCACATAGGCGCCCAATTTCTAACGATCCGGTTTTCATCACTGATGATGAACCTAACACTCCCAAGAATACCCACTCAATGATCTCAGATACAAACAAGACTTGTTGAACAGATTCACTGAAAGATGAGGCCACCTGCCCAGACTAAACGCCATAGGTGTAAGGTAATTAGAGTTGAGTAGCCATGCAAAGTGAAAGCTGGCTCAAAAGGCACCGCAAACCACTTCATATGTGGCAACCTCAAACCTTCCCTACCCTCCTATAAATATCCAAAATGTCTCCACTTTCCACTTCACCTCAAAAACTAACACACTCTTTGTCACTCCATTACCATAGCCATGGCTAAACCTTCCTTGCTCTCAGTTTGTCTCTGTTTACTTGTTCTGTTCCATTGCTGTGTTACTGGTAATTGTAAGAAAGAAAGCCAGCAGCAGCAAGGGGGGTGCCAGATCGAGAGACTGAACGCTCGAGAACCCCAACGCCGCATCGAAGCGGAAGCTGGGTACACTGAGTTTTGGGACTCGGATGATGACCAATTCCAGTGTGCTGGTGTTGCTGCTTGTCGCAATGTTATCAACCCACAAGGCCTTCTCTTGCCTTCTTACACCAGTGCTCCTGCACTCCTCTACGTTCTCCAAGGTGCCTGCATGTCATGTTTACTTTGCTTTGCACCTATTCTAGTCTTTACACAAATTACACTAATATTTTAGTCATTATATCATTTTTGTTGTTACAATTTTAATTTTATTTAATTTTCACTTGAATTTATGATTTTTATCTCGATTCAATTAATTACATCTGTTAGCATTTTTTTTAATGATACATGCACACGTGATTAACATCTCTCATATTTTTTAAGATAAAATTATAAATTTGTTTAACTTAGTGAGTTAATTTTAATTAATTTAGCAATTATTTTTTTTTATCAAAAATCCCAATTGGCATTGTTAATTGAATTAAATTGATACAAAAATTTAAAATTAAAGATTAAAATTAATCAAGTTGAAAGGTATAGAAACCAAATTCGTACTAAAAATCAAAATACAGTAATTTTTTTTGTGAATAAAAATCATAGAATGAGACATAAATAAGACACACAATATGATTCATAGAATAGTACATAAATAAGACACAAAATATGAGGACCCAACCTTTGTCTTTTATTTGCATTTTACTTCTTGACTTTTATGCATTTGGATTTTTATTTTTTATTTTCTATACTTATTTTTAGATATGTTATTATCAAGTTCACATTTTAAATTTATATTGTAAACCATTAACCAATCATTTTCTTGATATGAATTTAAAAAATAAAATATAAGTTTACTTTTTAAACTTATTTTCTAAACTATTAATCAATTATTTTCTTGACATATGATATCACTAAATTGAATTTAAAAAGGAAATTTAAAAAGAGAGTCCAATTTTGGGATAATAGCAAGACTCTTTAACAATAATATTATGGTTATGTACAGGTAAGGGGTTTCAGGGGATCATGATTCCTGGTTGTCCTGAAACCTTCCAATCATCCCAACAATCTAAAGAAGGACAAAGTCGGAGATTCCACGACCAACATCAGAAGATCCGAAACTTACGAGAAGGTGACGTCATTGCATTACCTGCCGGAATAGCACACTGGTGTTATAACAATGGCGAGCAGGACCTTGTTCTTCTTATTATAGAAGACACTTCCAACGATCACAACCAGCTCGACAACAACCCCAGGGTAAGAAAAAATAAACACACCAACCAACTTCAAATATTACCTTATTTGATTTTAGAATTTTTTGTTTCCATATTTTTTTATTTTTATTGAATTTTTAAAAATATTTAATTTTTTTTTTAATTTTTAGATACATCTACACTTTTTTTTAAAAAAAAAATCATTAAATACTAAATATATAAAAAATAAATAAAAATTCAATATATTTTTTTGTATTCTTATATATTTATTATTGATTTTTTATTTAAATTTTTTTTTACAAACCTATTTTAGATTAAAAAGTAAAAAAATTACTTAAAATTTTAATTTTTTTTACTAAAAATAAAAAATATAAAAAATAAAGAATCAATTTTCAGAACATTGGAACCGAGCCTTAAAAATTGAAACCGATTAAACAATAGCTTTGTGGTGGTGATGGTGGTTAAACAAAGGTGATTAAACACAGTTTTTACTAGTAATGCTACTTGTGGTGGTGGTGGTGGTTAAACAATTGCCTTGTTACTTGATATTGTAGAAGTTCTTCCTAGCCGGAAACCCACAACAACAACAACAACAACAACAACAAAAAAAGCAACAAAATCAAGGCAACGTCTTGGCCGGCATGGATGTGGATACCTTGGCGGAGGTATTTAGGGTGGACATGGAGACAGCAAGCAGGCTTCAGGGACAAGACGATAGGAGGGGACATATCGTTAGAGCGGAAAGTGATCTTCAGGTGATTAGGCCACAGAGGACTCGAGAGGAACAAGAACGTGAGGAAAGAGGATATGAGGGTCGTGACAATGGTCTGGAAGAGACCATTTGCTCTGCCAGACTTCGACAGAACATTGATGATCCGTCACGTGCCGACTTCTTCAACCCTCGAGCTGGCCGCCTCACCATTCTCAATAGCTTGACTCTCCCTATCCTCAGCTTCCTCCAACTCAGTGCTGAGAGAGGAGTTCTCTACAGGGTATGTAATGACACTCATGATATTAATGATTATAAATCCACTCTGTTTGAGTTATCTAATATTGTGTCAAGTAGATATAATTGGTTTTTTTTTTTGGCTACATTTGCTAACGTTCCTGCTATGTATATACCAAACTTTCATAAATTCTAAACAAGAGACAATTATATCTATTTTAATATAGTGAAACTACACATTCTTAAAATTTTTATTCAAAATTTTACTTTAGAGTGTCAAACTATGTTCTAACCAATTTAATTTCAACCACTCAATTGCATTCGGAATAAAGAATTTTATTATTATTTTTTTTAAGTATAAAAATGTGGGTTTCTTATAAGACCATTTCTAACGGTTCACCAAACCTGGTATCAAATTTGAAATTTGGTGAAAAAATCACTTTTTGAAGCTCCAACGGTTTCACCAAACTGGTATCAAATTAAGAATTGAACAAAAAAATCCAATGGTCTGGAAGAGACCATTTGCTCTGCCAGACTTCGACAGAACATTGATGATCCGTCACGTGCCGACTTCTTCAACCCTCGAGCTGGCCGCCTCACCATTCTCAATAGCTTGACTCTCCCTATCCTCAGCTTCCTCCAACTCAGTGCTGAGAGAGGAGTTCTCTACAGGGTATGTAATGACACTCATGATATTAATGATTATAAATCCACTCTGTTTGAGTTATCTAATATTGTGTCAAGTAGATATAATTGGTTTTTTTTTTTGGCTACATTTGCTAACGTTCCTGCTATGTATATACCAAACTTTCATAAATTCTAAACAAGAGACAATTATATCTATTTTAATATAGTGAAACTACACATTCTTAAAATTTTTATTCAAAATTTTACTTTAGAGTGTCAATCTATGTTCTAATCAATTTAATTTCAACCACTCAATTGCATTCGGAATAAAGAATTTTATTATTATTTTTTTTAAGTATAAAAATGTGGGTTTCTTATAAGACCATTTCTAACGGTTCACCAAACCTGGTATCAAATTTGAAATTTGGTGAAAAAATCACTTTTTAAAGCTCCAACAGTTTCACCAAACTGGTATCAAATTAAGAATTGAACAAAAAAACATCAAACTGAGAACATGATATAGATTTCAGCAAATTACTGTTTGTGACCGTTGGAGGAGAGGAACCGGTCAACCAGCCGGTTGCCCGGCTGGTTGACCAACCGGTCGACCATGAAAATGTTCAAACAGTTCAAATGGGTAGGTTCAAACAATTCAAAAAAAAAATTCTGCTTTACCGGTCGACCACTAAAAGGTTCAAATAATTCAAATAAGTAGGTTTAAACAATTCAAAAAAAAAAAAAATTTTGCCTTACCGGTCGACCAACCGGTTGTCTCTGGAGCAGATTTGATGAAAATTAACCATTGGAGCATTCTGTATCAAATTGAGAAAATTGTCATTTTTTTATTCAAATTTAATAAAAAATTAAGTAAAACGTTGGAGATGCTCTAACTCATTAAAAGTGATGAAGTTGCTGAAAATGAAGTTGAAAATTTGAGCAGAATGCTATCATGGCACCACAATACACGTTGAACGCCCACTCTATAATATACGCAACAAGGGGTGAAGCCCATATGCAGATCGTGGACCACCGTGGGCAGTCTGTGTTCAACGAGAGGATCCAGGAGGGGCAGATGGTGGTGGTGCCGCAGAACTTTGTGGTGGTGAAACAAGCCGGAAGAGATGGGTTCGAATGGGTGGCCTTGAAGACCAATGAGCGTGCCATTTTCAGCACTCTGGCGGGTCACACCTCAGCCCTTAGGGCCATTCCTGTGGATGTCCTAGCCAACGCCTACCAGATTTCGAGGGATGAGGCAATGAAATTGAAGCGGAGAAGGGATGAGTCGATCATGTTCGAAGCAAGTGCTAGGCCTCGGAGAGAGACGAGGGCTGATGCTTAAGCCTGTATGTATGTAAGTATGCGGGGTCAATGTAGTTTTGTTTTTGTGGTTTCTTCTACTACTACTACTACTACTACTATAGTACTGCTTCTGCTACTACGGTAGAGAATAAGAAAAGCTTTTAGATGAGCTCTGTATTTGCTATGTAAGAGAAGAGTTTCAACTACTATGAATGAATAAAAAAGGAACAGCACGTTACGTATATATATACCTTTGGGATCCAGAGTGTTTGTACTAGCTTTGCTCTTTCATTTTTGGTCTCTAAATCCTAGGCCTTCCAATACTTTTAGCTTAACAAGAGTTACTAAAACAATTAGAAAAAATTATAATTTATGTTAAAAAGTCAAATACTACGGTTGCGTTTGGTAGAGTTTTGTAAATGTAATTTGAGAGTATGAGTTGTATTTTGAGTTTGTGAGTTGTTGAATTATGATTTGAGTATAGAAAATTTGTTTGGTTATAATTTTTGAATAGAGTATTGAATTGAGTTTTGAATTGAGTGTGAAATTGAGTTTTGAAAGTTTGATTTGACATGTGAAGTAAGAAAATTTGTTTGGTTATAAGTTTTGGAAAGAGTTTTCAAAACTTAATTCAAATTATTATAACTCATAACAAAAAAACACAAATATATCATTTCAAATTTACTAATTTTTTACCTTATATTTTAGTCAAAAAAATCCAAAAATCATTAAAATAGTCTATTCTCAAATGAGACCTAAAAAACAGTGCATACCCATTTTGGGAACATGGGTTAAAAATTAAAAGTCAGCTTTTAATCTATGTTGGGTCATATCACCTCTCACATAAAACAGTGAAAAATGCCAAAAAATTAATTTTTAACCATCTTTTCAAAACATCTCATACTCACACAAGGCCCCGTTTGTTATCCGCTATCACAGTCCACTCCGGACTGTGATAGATGAATAGTGAACAAAGCTTCCGTTTGTTTTGATTTTGGAACTCCAGATTAGTAGTTTGAAGAGACTATGATGGGCCTCGCCAAAGGGTATTAGTAATCCGGAGTGAGAGATGGTATTAGCAACTAGTCCGTTCAGATTGGGTGTTGTGGGACGTCCGCTCGGAAGTTCGGCCGAACGTCTGGCGGGTCAACCGGTCAAAGCAATTTTTTTTTTTTGTTTTTTTTTACTTCTTGGGCATTTTTTTTAAAACATTAATGTTTAATGTTTTTGTATTTTTTGTTAAGTAAAAATCATAATTTTATTTGTTTTATTATTTTATATAAAAAATAATTTAACAATCCCCTCACTATCAATCCGATCACTAACAAAACAAACACAATTTTACTAATCCCCTCACTATGAAAACAAACACAATTTTACTAATCCCCTCACTATCAATCCCTTCACTAATAATCCCCTCATTAGTAATCTCCTCACTATCAATCATCTCCATTCTATTTCTGAAAACAAACGGAAAAAAACACATTATGGAGATCAATTTTATTGATTAGTATCCTCTCCATTACAAATTCAAAAATATCAAAGGAAAATTTTAAAATTTAAATTATATTACAGAACATCCCGATGATTGTAAATTTTAATAATGTGGGGTAAATGTCGTCAATTATTACCATGGAATATCTTTTTTTATTTTTTTATTTTTTATACCAAGAGTAGCTTAATATTAAGCAAATAAGTTTATCAAGCCTTAGGCTTGAGTAGTCTCAGATTTTTATGACTCATATATTTAAATTGATGGAACAATTATCATTTTAAATCACATTTTAATGACTACTTTACTTAATGGGACAATTGTCATTTTAAATGAAAAAATATTAAGACGCTAACAATTAATACACAAAAATATACAGATACACCCATAAGTCTTGGGTGAGTCTCACAACAAATCGTGATAGGGCCCGTGACAACTTCCGAATGTTTGTGTTTATAAGTATTGATAGCCGATTTAATGGGTATAATTATAAATGTTTAAAAACTATTTTTTTGTTAAATTCATGTGTTATTTATAATGATAATATAGCATTTGCATAAAAGAGATTAACTTCTCAACACCTATGCCAAGAAGGAATTATCAGTGCGTTTGGTTTAAGTTTTTTAGATTAAATTTTTTAAAAATCGAGTTTTTTTGTTTTCATATTTTTTTTATTTTTAGTGAATATTTTTAAAATTTTAAAGATTTATTTTTATTTTTTTAGATGCACCTTACTTAGATGTATCTAAAAAGTAAAAAAATTGTGAAAAAATATTTTTAAAAATTAATAAATACATAAAAATACAAAAAATATACCGAATTTTCGTTTTATTTTTTTATATTTTTGGTATTTTGTGAATTTTAAAAAGATTTTTTTCACAAATTTTTTATTTTTTAAGTATATTTATGTTAGGTATGTCTAAAAATTAAAAAAATTACTTAAAATATTAAAAAAATTCAGTAAAAATAAAAAATACGAAAAATAAAAAAGTAAAACTTTTTAAAAAATATTTTTGAAAAACTATAACGAAGCAAAGTGTGCCTTCTAATAATTTTCTACACTCTGGGAGACAAGACACATTCATAGCTAGTATTAATTGCGAACAGAAGAAGCCAATTGAAATGCTATGTTTGGGCAATTTTGTAGTTGTTGGTGGCCTTATAAATGTAGTGTTGCCACAATGTTAATATTTTTATACAACAAATTCATACGTACTTATGTAATAGTGATTTTTTATTTTATTTTATATATGTTCAATTATAAATTATGCAATGAAGACAAATCACTTGTATTCAATTTAGTAGTTGTTTGATATGTGCTAAAATAATACATATTATTTTAACACATTATTCTATTTAAGTCACAATTATTTTAAGTCTGTGGTGTTTTGAAAAGGTGGTGAAAAGTTGACTTTTGGCTTTTTTAGCAAAAATTAAAAAAATTACTTAAAATATTAAAAAAATTTAATAAAAATAAAAAATACGAAAAATAAAAAAGTAAAACTTTTTAAAAAATATTTTTGAAAAACTATAACGAAGCCAAGTGTGCCTTCTAATAATTTTCTACACTCTGGGAGACAAGACACATTCATAGCTAGTATTAATTGCGAACAGACGAAGCCAATTGAAATGCTATGTTTGGGCAATTTTGTAGTTGTTGGTGGCCTTATAAATGTAGTGTTGCCACAATGTTAATATTTTTATACAACAAATTCTGAGTTCGAATCCTCTCCAGCCTTTCCCTCCAGCTCTTTCTCCGGTTGACGGACAAGATTTGGCCACGTCAGCCATGACAAAACTTACTGTTAAGATTAACTATAAAAAATAAAATAAAATTTGAATTCATACCACACACAGCATTCTGACACTCTGTCCTGTCTATCACTCACACACACTATATCTCTCTCTCTCTCTCTCTCTCCCAATAAAAAATTAAAAAAACTATTTTAATCTTTTTAATTTTATTTTCATAATATATATAATTTTTAACATAAAATTTTAATTTTATAAAATTAATATCATTAAAAATATACCTTTAAAATAAGACTAATATTAAGGGGTGGTTTGAAATGTTTTAAATAAGTATGTTTTTTGACTTTTTATAAAACGATGTGTAGAAAAGTAGAGAGAAAATGTTGATTGATATGACTCAAAAATAATAAAAAAGATAGACTTATTTAGAGGAGGACAAACAAGGCTTAAATATATTTAATAAAAAATTAAAATAAATAAAAAGTAATTACTATGTTTAGTACGTTTTGAAATTATTATTTTTTAAATATAAAAATTAATTTGATGAAATAAACACAAAAAAATTAATTTTTTGAAATTCTCAAAAACAATCTTCATTAAAAAAAAATCATTTGAAAATATTTTTTTAAAGGAAATAAAAAACACACAAATCCAATCTTTGCATTTATAAAAACACACACACACACACACACACAAATTTAATTTGTGCATAGGTACAAATTAATACAGCATATTTTTTTTTATTTTCATATGATTTTTTTTTAAATGAAGTCTGTTTTTGAGAATTTTAAAAATATATGATTTTTGTGTGTTTATTTCATCAAATTAATTTTTATATTTAAAAAATAAGAATTTCAAAACATAACTAAACATAGTAATTTCTTTTTATTTATTTTAATTTTTTTATTAAATATATTTAATATTAGTTTCATTTAAATGATATTAATTTTATAAAATATTATGAAAATAAAATTAAAAAGATTAAAAATAGTTTTTTTAATTTTTTATTAGAAGAGAGAGAGAGAGAGAGAGAGAGAGATAGATAGATAGATAGATAGATAGAGAGTGTGGGTGAGTGGTGGACAGGACAGAGAGTGTCAGAGTGTGAAATGAATTCAAATTTTTTTTTTTTTAATAGTTAATCTCAACCGTAGATTTTGTCGTGGCCGAATTTTATCCGTCGACTGGAGGAAGAGCTGGAGGGAAAAGCTGGGGAGGATCCAGACTCACAAATTCATGCATACTTATGTAATAGTGATTTTTTTTATTTATTTTATATATGTTCAATTATAAACTATGCAATGAAGATACATCACTTGTATTCAATATAGTAGTTGTTTGATATGTGTTAAAATAATATATATTATTGTAGAACATTATCCTATTTAAGTTACAATCATTTTAAGTCACACATTCTCTCTATCACATCACTTCAAACTTAACTCATATTTCATTTTTTTTTTTAAATAAAAAGTTAAAAAGTATACTACTTTGACACTTCCCAAACAACCCCTTAATATACAAAATTTATTGCTTTACCTAGGGTATTCTAGTTGAAACTTTATTTTTGTGTGCTCAAACTTCTTAATTTTAATTTTTTAAAAAAATGAGAATTTACCATTTATAAACCATTTATAAACTTCTTAATTTACCATTAGAATTTTTTTTTTTAAAATTAAAAATTAATTTGGTTAAGAAATAAAAAATAAAAAATAATTATCATTTTTATATAATTTTTATCTTTCGAGTGGTTAGAGATAATTTTTTACAAATTAAATTGAAACAGCCATACGTATGTATATAACCTGCCTAAAAGTTAAAATGATAATTATTTCTAACCCTTAAATGATAATTATTTTTTATTTCTTAACCAAATTAATTTTTAATTTTTTAAAAAAAATTATAAAAATCAAACCATACATAGCCTAAGATTCTTTTGATAAGTCATTTCTTACGTTGATAACTTATTTAATTATTTGTTAATTTTACGACATTTTTACCATCAAGTCTGTTTGGTAACCATTTCGTTTTCAGTTTTCAATTTATATTTACAAAAATTTAAAAAATTGTCATAAAAATTTGTTTGATAATTTTTTTGGTTTATAAATGGTTGTCTCAGTTTGTAAATTTGAGAAAAAAACGTAAATTCAAAAAATGAGCTTACGTTGGTTTTTAAACAAAAATTTAAAAACTTTACTAACAAATTTTTTTTTTCAAATAATTTTTTTTCATTGCATTTTTTTTCCGACTAATACTAACCAATGGGGCAGTTGGTAATGCTACTTTAAACCTAAGGGAGGGGATTGCAATTTCTAAAATGTGAGGGGTGTCAATGTAATTTACTGAATGAGGGTAAAATTGGTATTTAAACAAATTAAATTGCTGAAGAAGGAATCTGTAATGAAACTTTAAATCTCAGGGAGAGATGTAATTTTCAAAAACTAAGAAGAGAACTGTAATAAACATAAATCTCAAAAAATGTCAATCTAATTTACTCTTTTTTACACTCTGGGAGACAAGACTTTGCACATTCAAGAAAAGACTTCAGTCAATTAGCTAGCTACTATTAATTGGGAACAGAAGAAGCCAATTGAAATGTTATGTTTGGGCAATTTTGTAGTTGTTGGTGGCCTTATAAATGTAGTGTTGGGACAATGTTAATATTTTTATACAACAAATTCATACGTACTTATGTAATAGTGATTTTTTATTTTATTTTATATATGTTCAATTATAAATTATGCAATGAAGACAAATCACTTGTATTCAATTTAGTAGTTGTTTGATATGTGCTAAAATAATACATATTATTTTAACACATTATTCTATTTAAGTCACAATTATTTTAAGTCTGTGGTGTTTTGAAAAGGTGGTGAAAAGTTGACTTTTGGCTTTTTTAGCCAAAAAAGTTAACTTTTTAGGTAGTGACTTGGGTAAAAAAGTTAACTTTTTTGACTGAAAAAGTCAAAAGCTGGCTTTTTACTAACTTGTCAAAGCAGACCACCACTTCAAACCTAACTCATGTTTCACGTTTTTTTTTTATAAAAAGTTAAAAAGTATACTAATTTGGCCCTTCCCAAACAATCCCTTAATATACAAAATTTATTGCTTTACCTAGGGTTTTCTAGTTGAAACTTATTTTTGGGTGCTCAAACTTCTTAATTTTAATTTTAAAAAAAAGAAGAGAATTTACCATTTTAAGGAGTTTGTCTTAGAGGTGATGATGGATTTGATGGCCCACCCAAATCGTCTAACGTAATACAATATTCTTAGGTCTGTGAAAAAAAATATTTAGCTCAGGATAAATTGAGATTTTGAATCAATTTAATTTTTCAATTTAACTTGAGATAGGTTAAGCTTAGCGTAATGAGAGGGTAATTTTTGGAAAAAATTGGGCCGAGCTGAGAGTTGGGCATTGAGGCCCAAAACGCGTCAATTTAATTTTTCAATTTAACTTGAGACAGGTTAAGCTTAGCGTAACATCACTTGTCAATTTATAAAACGTTAATATTAATATTTACATTATTTATTTACAAAATAAGTCAAGAAAATAATAAAAGACAAAAGAAAAGTACGTATTCTATTTATTTATAGGGTTAAAATTAAAATATATGTTTAAAGATTTTATTTATTTTATAATTAAATTTTGTTAATGTTTCAAGTTCAAATAATTATTAAAAGATTTAAATAATTTAATATTCATTCAACACAAAAAAAAAAGAAAGAGAAGATAGCCATGGTGAAGGATGATGATAACTGTTTACTGGTAAAGAAAGACGCTTTACGTCTTTCATTCTTCCTCCTCATTCTTTTCTTGTTGGTTTAAAACGGTGGTGATCATAGTAATGTAATAAAGATGAACATTTTTTTGTCCAAAAAATGGTCAAAGAAATGTTACTGGAAGTTGAAGATAGTTTTTGACGGTTAGAGATGGCTGTCAAAAATAATCATTAAAGGTGATTATTGATTGTCAAAAATTATAATTAAAAAAAATAATCAATAATGAAAAAGTAATTATTGACGGCAGGGTTCATGCAGTGATTTTTTATGGTTCAGATTCGAAAGGAGGTGAGAAAATGACTTGTTAAAAAGAGTAAGGATTTTTTAGAGTTTTTTTTTTTTAAAATTTTGTAGAGTGGTGCATTGTGTGGTTGAGATTTAATGACAAGTCACATCAATTTTTTAGCATTAAATCTCAACCACACAATACATTATTTTAAGAAACTTTAAGAAAAAAACACTCTAGAGAATCCTTGGTGTGTTAAAAATATTAATAGATGAAAATGCGTTGGTGTTGTAAGTAAATAAATTTATCCGCAAGTGTCGTACTTTTTTTTGCCCGGGTTAAATAGGGTCAATTCTAACCCACCAAATTATAATATGGGCAAGTGAGTCGGATCATTGGTCTGACCCGCCGTAGTTTTGTAGCCCTAGCAATCCCCCGTCTCACCACAAGTCACAAACCCTTCGCCAAAGTATTCAAACTCTCTCTCTCTCTCTCTCTCTGTTTCTTCGGTTCCTTGCCTTTTTAATACCCAACCGAAGCAACTTCTTCGTATATCCTCGATTTCTTTCGAATCCTGAAGAACACCAACACCGGGCAAAAGAAAATTTCAATATTTTTTTGAGAAAAACAAGACACCAAATTTTCTCGACAAACAATCGACCACTTATGGCTAGCAGAAAGCTGGTCCGAGATTTATTCCTCTCCAAGCGCCCTTTTTATCGTCAGCTATTAACATTTCAACAGGTTTGTTCTCCATAAATTCTTACAAATACCAGTAAATTCTTTGTTTTTTTTCACACCCACACACGTATATCAATATATATAGTTTGGGTTTCTGATTTTTAATTTTTTTGGTCTAGGTTTCGACTTCTAATACGAGAATAAGTTTGCTTTCCGCAAATGGGTATTTGGGTAATCGTCAATTTAGTGTGTTGAATGAGTTCTCCAAACAAGTTAAAGGCGAAGCCAACAGGTTTTATTTTTTATTTTTTTGTTTTTTGTTTTTTTGTAAGTAACTTGAATATATGTCAATAATTGTCTGAAACCTTAAAAAAGAGATTTTTTTTTTCTTGTTACATTGGAACATATATTTCTGCGTTAGATTTGTTTAGTTGGTTCTTTATCAGCTCAGTTCTTTTGTTTTGCTTTGGTTCAGTGCTTTGCATTTATTTATATATTATTATCTTTGTTTACTTCTTGGCCTTGTTTTTTTTACTGTTGTGTTTTTGCTTGTAAAATTTGAGACAAATGGTTCTGTTGAGTTCTCTTTGTTCTTTTCTTGTCGTTCCCCTCAGGATACTCTTTCATCATACTATAGTCACTTCCTACTCACCCTATCTCACAGGGTTTCTTCAGTCATACATATTTCATTTTTGTTGGACTTATGTTTGTCTTTTTAATGAATGAGTGTATTTGGAAGTTCCTAGAATTTGAATCAGCTCACTGCATTTCCCATTTTATGTTCTGGTAAGATGGTACCGATAGGGAAAATAATATACTGATTGATATTTTTTTATGTGACCATTTTTTGCTTTGCTTAAAATCACAACATTAGTTACCGTTTGCGTTTTACTTGAATTTCTATGTTAAATGTCTAATGGGGCATTTGGTTATCCGAGGAACATCCAAGCATGCCCTAGTTGTTTAGGATGTTATATGTTATCTACTCATGTTTCCAATTCACTTGCAGAAATCAGGAATTCCAACAGTCAGTCAAGGAATTGCAGGGTAAAGCAGAGGAGCTAAAAGGGGTGACAGAAGGTCTGAAAGTTAGGTAATTTTGTAGTCAATCTGCTCGCTTGTGTTTTTGTAGTTTTTGTTTTTGGTTTGTTTAAAGGCTGAGACATACCGTTGTATGTCAAGGCTGGGCAGACACTTCCAATGAGGGCCCTGAGTGGTCAACTGGCGAATGCAGAACCAAGCAGACAACTGAGCAGCTGTACAAGCAAGTGGATGGTGCATGGACGGAAGCTGAAGCCACGGCAAAGAAGGTCTGATCCAAATTTCTCTATATTGATGTAATGCTTCCCGTGACTTTCCAGTTTGAACTCATGGATTAGATCAAATTCTTCTGAAAAAATTATTTTAAACAAATTTTTTAATCTTAACACGGGTCCAGTTCCCAAACTTCTTTGAATTTTTTACTTAACCCCAATGGCATCTCTGTCGAAGTGTAAATTTCATAACTCAAGCCTTAGTGTAGGCCTCAGTGCTTTGCTTTGCATGCATTCACCCCTGCATGCATGCCTCAATGCTTTGTTGTGGAATATGTGAGCATATATGTGGCATGTGTTGTCAATGCTACTTGAAGTAGTGCAAAAGTTTAATATTGTAGTTTGTTATTTTGAGTTTTTTCCCACTTAAAATGAAGGCTACAAATATTGACTTATTACTAAACTAAGAATACTACTGCTGTTAGTAAATTATTATCATTTTTTATTTGTTCATATAACATGTTGACATTTTTAGGGCTTTAAAACCCATTTGAAATCCTTCAGGAAGGATGTTTCTTTAACACTATGAAAAGATTTGACGTCACTATATCTGCAAACAGTTTTTTTGTTATGCATCATTTGAGCATTCTTTCTGTATGATTACTCCACACGTTCTGTTTGCAATTTATTGTCAAATTTTATATACCTTGTGCTATTTTCAATCCAATAATATTTAAAATGTTAAAGATACACTCAAGGTTAAAATTTCAATGAAATAAATATGGTGTAATATTACATGGGTCAAGTCAGTCCTCTTCTTAAAGCCCCTTGTTCAGTAACAAAAGCTAGTCTATTACGTTGAATCTATCACAGTTTATGAGTCATTTTGTTATTTGCAGGTTTCTGCCAATTTGAAGGAGAAAATTTCAGCTGCCACAGAGGAGGTGAGATTGGATTTATAAATTTCCAGATTACGCATGATATACTACTAGAAATGATGAGAAAATAGAAATATAACATTAATTAATTACACACTTTGTTCTGTGCTCCAGGTCAAAGGCTCTTTTGGGATTGGGAAGGAAGAAGATCCTGAATTTACTGCTACTTCAGCTAAAGACGGCACTGATGTGAAAAATGGGAGCAAGACTACATCTGGAGAGGAAAAGCAGCAGCAATCCAGTCCTGGGGATACTGCAAATACAATATTTGGCAAGTTTAAGTCTACTGTTACTCCTAAGTTCTCTGTGGCCTTCCAAAAATTGAAGGAAGCAAAGCCCATTGACATGGCAAAGAAAGGATATGATGTTGTAAAGGATGAGTTGAGTGGTAACCCAAGTAAAAGAAAGCGCATTGAGTATGGAGCTTCTTCCACAACTTCTTCATCAACGGTTAAAAAGAGCACAAGGACGGACATTACTGTTGTACCTTCAAAGCAGTCTAGGTGGAGTAAGAAGTGGGAAGCATTGAAAGAGAAGGTAAATTGTTAGTGTTACAAACTCTAATATTATATATTGGAAATTTTTTATTGCTTTATTTTCTTGTTTTTAGATTGTAATGTTTATCTTCCCCCCAGATGCAAGGTCATTCTATTTTCAAGCGCGTCAGCGGGTTAAGTGAACCTGTGGTGGCAAAGAGTCAGGAGGTATGAGCACAAGATCCTATCGTCCTAATAACATATTGTTTAATTGGGCAGTCCTACTTCTATCACATGATTGTCCCATCATTTTGTCCAGTTTTCTCATTCATACCAGGATACTTTGTAATGAAAAGGTCTCGCACTTCTCAGCATTAAGCTTCAGTCATTACAAGCCACCATTGAGATTTCCACCATGAAAATGAGTGGATAAATAAGATCAGATCTCAATTGCAGTTTTAATAAGTTGAATGTGTTTTTTGATGACAAATTGTGGCTGAAGTATGTTGAATTTAATGCATTAAAGGAATTGTTCAGAATTATTTTGTAGGATAGATCACGTTTTGTATTTTATTGAGTATGAGGAATGCTGTTGAGTGGTATTGACCTTAATGAATCAAAGGATACAGTCGTTGAAACTTGTTCATATAATTCATTTTAGGTCCCTATTTACTGGACAAAGTAGGAAAAAGGAAATAAATGAAAGGCTGGAATTTCTGTTAGGAAAATAATAAACACATAACTCATTCTAATTTTTCATTTGGAGCCTATTGTATTTGACCTTGCCTTTGATATATATATATATGCAATCTTTATCCCCCTTTTTTGGAGGAATGTCTAAAGCATGGACACTTTGTGTTTATTATGGGATCACAATATCATACTTTAATAAACACTTCTCGAAAACTTCAGTAACCCTTCTTGAACCCTCTAAATATGACCTATGTGATGAATCTCTTTGTAGTAACAAAGTTTTGCATTCTTCGGAATATGACTTGTGCACTCTAAACATGTTTTGAAACATTTATAAGTTGAATATATCATGTTTATAAATATAAATTTTTAATGTGTCCTAGACATATTGTTTCTTGCATTTTTTGAAAATTGCCTTGTTGGCATGTTTGTGTCGCGTTGCGTGTCCATGTTTGTGCTACTTGGGGGAATATTTTAATCTTTCAAACTTTATGTTCTCTCTCTAAGTGACATTTGATTGTGTGAATATGATAAGTTTGCTTTTTATGGTTCTTATGATTGAAAATGCCATTACATTAACATTATTCCCTATTGAAATTTGTTGTAACTGCTGTCTCGATGGGAATTGGCAGTTTGCAGAAGACATCCGGGACAGATGGGACACTACTGATAATCCAGTTGTTCATAAAATTCAGGAGTATGTTGCTCAACCTTTTTTCCCCTACTGTTCTGCACATGACTTACTTTGGTTGAGTAATTATTTGACCATCCTCCCTTTTACAGTCTCAGTGAAAATGTCTTTGGGGAAACTGCTACTGCACTTTCAGTCAAGGAAATTCGGCGCCGTGACCCGTATGCTGTTTTTATATTGGTTTGTCTTTTAGATATCCTCTCTTTTTCAAAAAACTACTTATTACTTAATCTTTGTGTGAAATTTGTACTTTTCAGGTCTTTCTCTTTGCCGGAATTTGTGACTGAGGTTCAGGAAGTGGTTAAACCAGTTCTTAATGCTTACTTCAAGGTAAGTCCTTAATATGATGGCCAGGGAGGTTTCTTATACTCTTTAATCTTCTTTTTTTGTCATTTTTACTTGCCATATCATATTTTGGGAGGGAGGACCATTTGTTGTTAATGGAGTTTTAAAATCTACCTGATAATAACAGATGTTTCACTGACTACAGGGAGATGTTGAAGTTCTGAAGAAATATTGTAGCACTGAAGTGATTGAGCGGTGTAAAGCAGAGCACAAGGCTTATGAAAGCCAGGGTATCTTTTTTGATAATAGGGTGAGAAAAATGTTTTATTTTGATTTTGATTTTATTTAAAATTTTTGTTTTTCTGCTTCAGAGGTTCAGTTGTTCTTGCCATGTATGTTGACAAGACGGAGAAAATTTGACACCCTTACGACTAGTTTTTCTTTCTTCAGTGATATGACTTGATCTTTTTCATATCATATTTTGGGAGGGAGGACCATTTGTTGTTAATGGAGTTTTAAAATCTACCTGATAATAACAGATGTTTCACTGACTACAGGGAGATGTTGAAGTTCTGAAGAAATATTGTAGCACTGAAGTGATTGAGCGGTGTAAAGCAGAGCACAAGGCTTATGAAAGCCAGGGTATCTTTTTTGATAATAAGGTGAGAAAAATGTTTTATTTTTATTTTTATTTTATTTAAAATTTTTGTTTTTCTGCTTCAGAGGTTCAGTTGTTCTTGCCATGTATGTTGACAAGACGGAGGACATTTGACACCCTTACGACTAGTTTTTCTTTCTTCAGTGATATGACTTGATCTTTTTCAAGTGTGAATTAGTGCTAGTAGGTGGCCTTTTTTGTTAAAAGAAAAAATTTTTTTGGAGAGGGAGGTGGGTGGGGGGGATAGAAACAAAAAAAATGTGGGGGGACAGATGTTGAGTAAGAACTTTAATTATGCAGAAAGCACTGATGTATATGATTATTTAAGATGTTAGAACGCTAATTGTTATCTGAGTAGCAGATGATCAAATAAATAAGTATAGGTAGTCATATAACTTTATTCTCTCTGTAATTACTTCTAGATATGTGACTAATATGATAAAGTAGTTATAATGGAATGGAGAAAATCATAGGGGATACATACCTTAAATAGCTATGCATAAATTTTATGTAAATTGATGGCTTACATAAAACTGAATGTGTTCAATTGTATCACAAGACCTTAATGTTCACTAGAAATAAGCATCTTCTGTTAATTTGCATGGGGGTGTCTTTAGTTGCTCCGAAAATTTATTTATTCTGGTCTTTCATTCATAATGTGAACAAGTTTATAAGCAATTCGTTACAATGAAAACGAATGTTCACGGCCAAGGGTGTTGCTCTTGTGGTTCCAATCCATGTTTGATGTTTATAGCCTAGTTTTTTTTTATATTTCTTTCCATTTCCAACTCTGATTTTGTCATAATCATTTTCTTCTTGACAACCATGACTTGCAAGCTTGTCTTAAATAAACACATTAGCAGGCATTCATAAGGTTTTTTTGCTGAAAGATAGATGTCGTAAAAATTATTTCAGACAATCTTCTTTTTAAGGTTTGAGGTAGATAACACATAATGCTATTTTTATTTTATTTTAAATGCACTTGGTTTTTTTTAATAAGGTTGGATTAACACTTCATTATCTTGAGAGAAGATAAACCGGTAAACAGATTTGTTAGGGAAAACACCAAGTCATAACATGGATTTGCAAAGTTGGATTTACTTATTCATTTCTTCTCCTTAACGCAGATTCTACACATATCGGAGGTGGAAGCAAGAGAGACCAAAATGATGGGGGACACTCCGATCATCATTGTGGCGGTACGCACTTACTGGCACTTTGACTGTTTTAACATCTTTTTTACTTGAATCAAACGTTGAGATTAATGGGCCCCTATTCCTTGTAACTGTCACAGTTCCAAACACAGCAGGTCTATTGTGTACGTGATAGACATGGTGCAATAACAGAAGGGGGCAAGGTAAATGCCAAACCTTTACTTTGTTGCAGTTTTATGCAGAGTCTATATTTGCATACCAATAATGGTTACTATTTTTCATTTACTGTTCATTTTTACTGATACAATTTGAATCTTTGGTCTAAAAAATAACAGTTAAATCACAGGTCTGAATACCTCATTCCATATTTAGAACAAAATATGAACACACAATACACACATTATATATATATGTATAATATGAGAGGAACAAAATAGAAGTGAAGGATTAATTGGTTCAAAGCGTGGGACCTGATTTAGAGAGAGAGAGATTTTGATGGCATAGAGAAGAAAATTGAAAAAAAAAAAAAGAGTAATAGACTTTTTGCAGAATTTGTTCATGGAGTTGTTTGCTCTTTGCTCCAGAGGGGGTTATGCATATATTTCTAGATTGTAGGGAATAATGTGTTTTTGGGCTAAAGCATAGGGGTAAAGTGTAATTAACCCCTATTTTTCACTTACCGTTCATTTTGAATTTTTTTTACTGATACAATTTGAATCTTTGGTCTAAAAAAGTGTAGGGGTAAAGTGTAATTAACCCCTATTTTTCATTTACGGTTCATTTTGAAATTTTTTTTACTGATACAATTTGAATCTTTGGTCTAAAAAATAGCACAGTTAAATCACAGGTCATTTTTTTTTTTGGAACAAAGTTAAATCACACGTCTGAATCCCTTGTTCCATATTCAATATTAGTATTTGCAGCCGAATGAAACAATATCAATGGCTACAATTCTTGGATTAATGTGCCATGTTCTTGTGAAAAATAAATATAATATTCGTGGTCATGTGTGATTTTTTTCACAAATGACACAATCATAGAATAGGGACTTGGGTTAACCGTACAATGGAATTTATTTTTCCACAAATTATGGTTGCAAGCAAATACACAATCATGGTGTTGATCTTGTTCAAGACTGAGTCGCATTTTGGGGGATGCTTATTCACATTTTATACCCAGTTTCTGAAACGAAGTGATTGATGTTAGTTTGCTTTTATATCTGTTGTGTGTGTAATCAGGATACAATCCACACTGTATACTATGCTTGGGCTATGCAACAAGTTGATGTAGAAGAGCTAGGAGAAGGTGCTCTCTTCCCGATATGGAGGCTGAGAGAAATGCAACAACTTGGCGTGAGGGCCCTTATTTAATTTTGCATTTTATTATCTTATCAATAGATGTTATGCGAGTATTCTCTGGGTTTTTTTCTCATTGCCAGGGAAAAAAAAATCTTTACTAATCATTTCCTATTTTCTTTGAGTAAATAAGCTTGGGTATTATACTCATTCATTTAAATGGTTACCTCTCTTGATGTATAATCTTGTGCTGAGGCGGACAAAAGTTTTAGGTAGCGGTGCCATATGTCTATTGGTATTTGTCTTGTCGGCTTCCTTATTTACTCCAATATATATTCTTCAATGGAAAATTATATTCATATTGGATTTTTATACTGAAAATTCTGCAAGGATGTGGCTTTGAAATTTGTGTAACTGCAACATATTTTGGTGGGTACTTTGTTTAAAGGCATCAATTCAGTCCAATTATTCTATATGATGTATTTATGTTTTTTGGTTATGTATTACCCTAGTCTTTTCCAAAAGGTGTAAAATGTGTTTGTGCAGATGGATGTGTTATATTAACATAGCTGTTTTTATTTTTGGAAGCAATAGAGTTTGTGAAAATTGGGCTTTGTCATATTAAGAATGAATGTATGTCTCCCTCTACTTCAGTTGGAATACTCATTACCCCTAGACTGAATCTAATCAAGAAGTCTAGTTTCAAAATATTTTGCTTAGTGTTTTTTCCCCCTACATCTCTAGTCAATATATTTTATTAGTTGAAAGACAAACTAGAAAAGATTTATTAGCTTGAGGACACAATTTTTTTGAGACGAAACTACGTTTAGTGAAACCTGGGTGATGGCAAATTTTCTTGATAGCTCTCTGGCGGAGAATTTTTTGGCAATTTTGACGACTTTTGTTGTTGAATTTTTCCCCACTATTGTTACTATCTCTGTAAGTTTTACTTAATGTCATAATGCAATTTCTCATATTGAAATCACATTGTTTTTTAATAGAGGAAGTGATAGAGAGACGAAGGATAGAAAACATAGACAAATAGGCACATACATAGCACCATGGCTCATCTTACTAATCCTCTGACAACGATATATATGTAGCATCATATCCCTTGATTTGCTTAGTCTAGAAACATGAATTGGGACGAAGAATGGTGGGTTTGGTGGCAAAAATTAGATCTTGTGTGGTGCGGTGGACAACAATGATGAGGCAGAGGAGACGTGTAGAGGAGGACACGGCATGAGTCAAAAGAGAGAGTGGTAAGAAAGTTAACAATTAGTACGTGGCATGAGTTGAAATCTCTTTCTTGGGATGGATTATCAATAAGTTGAAAGACCCCATATGCATCATGGAGCCTGAGCTTCTTCTTATGGTTTTGTTGTCTAAATATGTCAAGAGACCAGATAACCTCCAAAAACCAAATGGCATTAACATTTCATTACAACAAACAACAAAGGTCTCATTTTGTTGATGATAGACTTCACTTCTACGTACTTATTATTCTCTGATGCCTATCAGACATTTCTGATTCTAGCAACCGCAGTAGTACTAGTACTAGTAGATATACATACGTACATATATATCAAAATTTAAGAACTCCTCCCAGATGCGAGGTAAGTTTGGCGGCCAGTGTTGAACTTGAGTCCCTCTGCTTGACTTGGGGACATTTTGTAAGCGTTGGTGATGACTTCAAGCGGCATTGCCCTCAAAACTGAAGTGTAACCACCAACAGCGCTCTTCAATGGTGACCCGTTTGTCCTGAAAGACAGGAATTCGAGCCCATTGGTTCCTGCTCTCATTGTTGGTGCAAAGTACTGAGGAATCACAAACATTTCGCCTTCATTCACCCGATCGTTCATCACGTTTTGTCCCCTGTTGTCCACAATCTGCACTTGAGCTTGCCCTCGAGTCACGTACACTATGCTGTGGCTGTTGATTGTCCAGTGTGGCGTGTACAATGCATTCTGCAACATTTGGTAACAAATAAGAATTCAGGTAGGACGGACCTAGGATTTTAACCTATTGAAAGATGCAAAATAAGCATATTTGTATTCACGTTGGGACATAAAAAATAACAACTGTAAGTCAATCTATCTATTAACATAAGGTATCTCGAGGGAAATCAGATGAGCTATATGTAGTATAGTTTACACTATTTCCATAGTTTAAAATGTATGTTCCATTGTAACCATTGAAACTGATAATATAACAAAACGAATCAATCTATTAATAAGATATATAAATTGTTAACTTCCTTATATTATCCAAAATTTTTAATTTACAATTTGACCCACGTTTTTCACAGATTTGTAGGAAGCAACCACTTAATTTTTTGAAAAAACCTAGGCGAGGCAACCCTCTAGGGGTGGTTGAGATATTTAGTAACTAATACTAATATAATAAAAGAGTTTTTTTGAAATTGTAAGGGGTATCTTTTTGGTTTAGGCAGGGCTCAATTATAGATTTATCGATTGGATTTGGAAGTGTAGAAACGGTGTAAATGAGTCTACCGGGTAAAGATTGCCTCTCTCGGCGCTCATGTCCAAGAAGCGGAGGATTGGAAGCTTGTGTTGGTTGACAATGTTGATACGACTGGCTTGCTTGGAGTAGATATCGGCTTCTCTTCGTTCATCAATGTTCTGGTGAAGCCTCATCGTGCAGAAAGTTTCTTCAAAGCCGTTGGATCTAAACCCATACTCTCCTTGTTCTTCCCTTTCATCGGGCCTAATCATGCTCATCCCTTCTTGGGCAATGACTATGAGTCCCCTTTCATTTTGATTTTGCATCCTTCTCACAAGTTCCTCTGGTACATTCATGGCCTCGGCCAACAATTGTGGATCGAAGCCGTCCATTACGCTGTTGAAGGTCTCCCGGGCCTCCTGGCTTCTCAGGCCTTGCTGCCCTCTCCTTGGTGCCCCACCAGCTAAGTAATATGCCTGCATACGCCAACATAATATGAATGATTGTTGAAGTTGAAGAAAGCATAGCCTGTTTTCCAAAATACAAATGAGTAGGGCAAATTATACCCACAATCCTTGTAATTATTATCAATTTGGTCCTTGTGTCAATTTGTCCAATTGATAATCTCAAATTAGACCAAAATCAAAGGCAAAACAATCCATTTTAAAAGAAATAGACTGTTTCAAATTAGATGTCAACAACTCGAGTCTAATTTCTTAAAAAGACATTATCAATTTAATTAAATTATTTTAATGTGAAAAATTCAATAGAATATCAGGACAGAATTGATACAAGAGGCAAATTATAAGCCCTAGAAGTATAATTTGCCATTTTTCTTAGTAGCATGCATGTATGGTAACATCTTAAAAGATGGTGGTGGGTGTATTGGAGGCTTGCACGGAATCTTCTGTACTCAAAATTTCTGTTCTTCATTGCATAATTAATGCACTTATAGTTGTATGATCATATGGCTAAAAGTGCATTTATTGCAGAGAAATATGAATTTTGAGTAGGAAAAATCAGTGGAATGGAAAGGGTGAATAGAGGGTACCCTGAGTTTCTGATCAAGTTGGTTAGACTGGTGGTTGAGGTCGTTGATGGAGACGGCGATGAGGTCCTCGTTGCCGTCGTTGTAGCACCAATGGTTAACACCGGGAGGAAGGGCGATGATGTCACCACGTCGAATGCGTGGGATCTTTTGGTGATAGTCTCTTCTGCTGCTGCCTCCCTCTTCTTGTTCCTCTTCTCCTCTTCCCTCTTGGCTCTTCTCCGACTGGAATGTCTCTGCACACCCTGGGAATGTTACCCCTAGCAACCCTTCACCTGTTGTGTTCCACCTTCTTTCATGTTAGTCTACCTTTTAAAAAAATAAAAATAAAAAATTTAAAAAATGTTTAAAATTTATAGAAAGTTCACAGAATTGTCAGTATATCTCAGATAAGACATTTTTCGACAGTACTGCATTCTGTGAACTATTTTGTATTGGTAGAATTCTTTTGAAATTCAAAACCCGTCCTCTCTCACCTTGTTCAATGTAGATGAGGCGAGGGGCTGGGTGGTAGTTAGGCAAGGAGAGGGCATTAGGGCGCAAAGTGTTCCTCATAGGGGTAACACCAGCACACTGGAACTGGTCCTCATTTTCGTTCCACAGCTCAGTGATATCTCCCTCGTATTCGATCTGTTGAGACGGCTGGCTTGAGGATGCTCGTTGGAGACGGCACTGCTGGGATTGGGTTAGCTGGTACGGTGACGGTTGCCTCCCAACTGCAACTGAAGCAAAGAGAGAGAGAGAGATAGAGCTAGCAGGAGTAGTAGCTTGGTAGCCATGAATTTAGCAGAGAGAAAGAGATGGGGGATGAGAGTGAAATGGTGATGGGCTGAAATGGGCTGGGCTATTGAGGCCCATTATAGGGGGGGGGGGGAGAATTGGAGGGTAGTGAGAGAAGGGGTGGGTTGAGTGGCAATGAAGGGTGTTTGTATCTGCATGAAGAGGAAGTGTCCTGACGTTAGTTTGTACATAACACCTTGCAATGGCTATTCTTATGTGTTGTTCATACCATCTTCGACGTGTTGGTGATCCTCTGCATTGTACACTAACCACTTCGTGTGTCTCCAACTCAAAAACAATAAAAAGAGTAAATTAACTAACCTCCGTTGAGGTTTTTTTCATTTATGATAAAAAGCGATCCAAGTATTGTGTGAATTAAAATATTAGGAGAATCTAATATAATTAGGTCAACTTGTGGGTTTATTGTATTGTCTCTCAATCTTAGGGAAAATCAATGTAATTTACCAAAAAAAAAAAAAAAAAGGATAAATTACACTGACCCCTCTTGTGATTTTGGAAAAATATAGTAAGGTTGAGAATTTTAATATAATTACATTTGAGTTCCCTTAAAGTTTTAATTTGCATAAAACTTAACTCCATTTTCATCAATAATTTATTAGTCGCATGGATAAAAAAAATAATATTATTATCTCTTTTGCACTGAAATGTCTATTTTTCTTGTTCATCCTTGTGACTTTACGCTATCTGATTTAGTTTTGGTCTTTTTAACTTTGTTAAAAGAGAAGTAGGTGTAATTATGTCAAAATTATTTTAAATTTTTTTGTGTTGGTTTTTTCATATCTTGAGTTATGTAAATAAATTGAGTATATAATTTTAGTAATTATATATGCAAGGAAAATGTGTGTGGGTATTAATGAATAACAAAAACAATAATTTTTGAGAGTTCTAATGCAATTCTAATGATGTGAAGAGTGTTCATGTGAAGAATGAGTCCACACTCCTGTAGAGACCCTAATTTTTTTGTAATTACACTTGAAACCCTGAGCCTTAAGCTAATAGCATTTTAGCCCTAGTTCCGTAAAAGTCTGCATAAGGGCCCAAATAAAGAATAATTTTTCCGTATATTACTATATTTGGGAATACCCTAAAACTTGGTTTTATTTATTTTACCTCATAATTTCTAAATTAATTCACACATTTTATTTTTATTTTTATTTTTTGTTTTTTGTTGTTCTTTCATTTATTGTTTATTTGAATAGAATATTATTATTTATTTGAATATGTACATAGGTTTTATAAATAATATTTTGGTGAAAAATTTGGTTGGATAACAACAAAAAAAAGAAAGAAATATCTAGATATTTATCTTTCCTTAGTCATTAAGCTAGGAGCCCCTATATCCTATAAATTGAGAGCTTGTCTCAATTTACTCTCACGTTTTCAACAGCCCAAGGAGAGGGTGGGAGAGGGAGAGTGAGCTTAAGAGAAGTAGAGAAGTAAGGAAAAGAAAAAAAAAAGAAAAAACAAGAAACAAAGGTGATTCAAGAAGGTGAAGGTAAGAAGATACCTCTCCTTTATCTACTCCAATCCTTTCACCATCTCATCATATTGTCTAGTATGCCTCTTGTGTTACAAATTAATGGTAAATAGGGTTTTTGGTGTATGTGAAAGTGTGGGTATGATATAGTATCATTGTCTTGCAAATTTGTGAAATTAGGCACTGCTGCAACTTCTCTAATTTAAAAGAAATATCAAATCTATCTAATTCTCAAATCTGAATTTTATTGTAGGATATTTTGTGTGTTTAGAGTTTGTGATAATTTTATTAGCTCCTAATTGTGTGTTTTAAGGGCTTGGATAATTTGTTGAAAAATCTGGTCCCGAGTCTTTGAAAAATAGTCCACTTTTAGCAATTTTATAAAATTCTAGAAAAATCATCTCATGTTGGTTCTTCTGTCAAAATTTAGAACTCTGAGTCCTATTTCCCACAGATTTTATTTGAGTGAAAACCATCAGGTAGATTGAGAGAAAAGCTAGTTTTCCCAAAGGGTGACAAATCTAGGCAGGTTTTCGAATATAGTTTGTAGATGAATTTTTGGAGGTGCTGTGCAATTTCTGAAAATTGGAACTAAAACTAGACAGATTGAATATTGTTTCTGTGCAATTTCAGCCCCTAATTTGACCTAGAAGTATTTTTACCAAAGCGTTCTTGTTAGCCATGCAGAACTGAACAGTGCTGGAAATTGTGTTCTATTATGTTATTTATCTCTAAGTTTTTCAAAGCATTCCTAATGTTGTTTTCTTGCCTTACTATACTTATGTATGATGATGATGAACTATATTTCCTCTTGTATCTTTTTCTCATACTTTTTTATATGACCGAGTTACCGAATGTGACTAACTTACATAGCAAAAGATCTAATAAATGGGAAATGATAAGAGGTTGGCTATGGGTGATGTTCATCTTAGTGTTTTAGAACAATTTTATACGTATGAATGACATGAATTATGATGGGATTAATACCAAATGAGTTAAGTCTTGTGCAAGCGTTCTGAGTGAACCCCTAGGTTGACACAGATGTATTCGGACTCTATGCGGTGGTTTTAGGGTGTAAGCAAGCCCTTTGGTAAGTTATGTGCAGGGTGTAAGCGAGCCCTAGGCACGATTTGGGGAGTAAGCGAGCCCACTTGTTTGACCGTCCCTTTTGAGGTCCATCGATGTCGCTGACCAGTAAATAACCGGGAGGTGGACATGTGTGATAAGGTTTGCAAAACAGCAAAAGGGGGAGTTCTGAGTAGTCCGGTGTTCAATCTTGTGGTTGGGTAGAAGGATCTCTTTGGGGGGTTCTAGATGCCTAGTCTAATTACTAATTCATAAAACCTTATTGTAAGTATTTTATGTATCCCAACTTGTTCTGTGTATGGCTGATTGGTTGATAGAAGATATGGGTGTGTGTGTTTTTACTGGGCATTCCAAGCTCATGGCGTGTCATGCCAGGTGAAGAAGCAGCTTACGACGGGGAAGGTTATCCTGAAGATAATCAAGATGAAGTGTTGGAGCCGTGGTTCACTTGAAAATTTGGATTAGTAGTTTGTTTTTGGTTTCTCTTTTCTTTTATCTTTTGGTTTGACAGTATTTTGTAAACCTCTAGTGGAACTCAAATCAGTTATCTATGCTATAACTCTGCTTATATGTGTATATTAAAATATTGTGGTTATCTCTCTTGTTTGAGTTGTACTTTGTATATTTATTTTTTTGGTCATGAATTTTGGGGCGTGACAAATTGGTATTGGAGCCCTAGGTCCCTTAACCCACGCGTGTCGACTTGTGATTTTAGATATCCTTGCCTTTTACATTACTATATTCTGTTATAATGTATACTATATCATAAAAGTGGACTAAAAAAAAAAACAAATTGTTTACCTACCGTAGGATGGATTCTACGTCAGAAAGCGTTGATGACTGGGGAGTTTTTCATTTCCAGAATAGACGGGCAGTAGCTGTCAGTCCACAAAGACTTAACCGTCGATGTCAATTAGGAGCGGAGCGCGTGATAAAGAAAGCTATTCGGAAAACATAGGAGGACTTTTCATACTACACCACGCAAGCAAGACGTGCGTTGGTACGCCGACGCCTCCAGTGCAAATACCGGGAGCTTAGGTTCGCTCTACAGATAGAGTAGAATGGTTAGACTTTTGCCGAGCTTAGGCAAGAGGTATTGGCTGAGGATCCGCATCCGGTGATGTGTCGCGTTGGAGCCGAGAGTCGTAGCTCTCATCATCCTGAGTTAGAGGTTCCTTTTGTCTCAGTACTTCCCGGAGCTTCCTCTGCATTCTTTATAGAAGTGTCATCAGAGTACTCCCCTATACCAGCTCAGCAGTTTCCAGCCTCTCTGGCATATGCTTCTTTACCACCTGAGGACCCGGACGAGGATCCCAAAGAAGACCTAGAGGAATCATTTGACTTAGAGCTGTATTAGTTGTGGGACAAACCTTTTTGTGTACTTTTGTAAATATTGTTTTGTGTGGTTGAAGCGTGTTTTGTTTTGGTGTATACACGCTACACGCTAACCTAAATAGTGTAACCTTTTTGTAAGAAGTTGTTATATATATATATATATATTTATAAATATCTAGTTGGCTATCTTAGTGTATTGTATGTTATTTTGCTTGCGTTAATTGCATTGTCCATTTAGAAAATTACACCTCAGACCACATTAAATTAGTCTATTTATTGAACACCTCTTCGCCTTCACAACAACCTTAAGCTTATATTACCCACAAACTTGGCAGATGGCAAACAATGTGAAAGCAAACGATCAAGTAAGACGCGGACGTAGACGTCTAGCTCGCAATCAAGGCGTTAATCGCAGTGGACCTATACCTGTTGAGGAGTTACCAAGACCAGTCGGAAACCAGATTCTTGAAGAGTTAAGAAGGCTTAGAAGAACGTAACCAAACGAGCAGATATATTTTTTATCTGAGTTCAAAAAGCAAAGACCGCTGGTGTTCACAGGTGAACCTGCCCGAGAGTCACTGAGAGCTGGATTCGTCAAATAGAAAAGATGTTGGAAACCATGGGTATTACTGTGCATACAGACAAGATCGCCCTGGCAAGTTACCAGTTAGAAGGAGAAGCGGATCATTGGTGGTCCTTGATGAAAAATTCTCGGGACACGACAAGCATGACCTGGGCTCAGTTCAAAGAATTGTTTCTAAGAAAATATTTCCCAAATACAGTTAGACAGGAGCGAATTTGGTAATTTCAAACTTTGAAAGTGAGATGACAGTGACTCAATATGTGGCCAAGTTTGAAGAGCTGGCTTGATATGCTGCCCAATACGTCGCAAATGAAGGAGAGAAAGCACGAAAATTCGAGTGGGGTTTAGACCCTATCATTAGAGGTAGAGTGTTAGCCTTGTGCCTTCCTACATTTGTTGATGTAGTGGGTACGACATTCGATGCAGAAAGGGAGTGGGCAGACTAAAAAAGGACTTGGATGGTGAAAACGAAGAAAGGGGGTCAGTCCTTTGTAGGACCAAGAAGAAATGACTGAAGGAATGTGGTACAAACACCATACACCAGACCGTCGCAACAGCAAAGCCAAAAAGGAAGTTTACAAACCAAGCCTGTTATACAAATCCAATGCTTTCACTGTCATCAGATAGGGCACAAGAAGTCGGAATGTCCCCAACTTACTGGGATAGGAAATCAAGTAGGGGGTTTAGGCACGAATGCTCAAGTTATTGGCGGACAAAGGCCATGGATGAACAAGTCAGGAGGGGCAACAGGAGGAAACCGAAAGGTTGGACCAACCGGTAATCAAAAAGCCACAGGCAGAGTTTTTGCTTTCCAAGAGGAAGATGATGAAGATCCATCAGTAATTAGAGGTAACATTGTACTTTATAATTCTCGAGTTCACGTTCTATTCGATTCTGGCGCATCACATTCTTTTATATCAACATCGTGTGTTAAATCATTAGGTCTTGAATGTGAACCTTTAGAAACTACTTTATGTGTTGCATCACCCTTGGGAGAAAACATTAGGGTAGGATTAATCTGTCGAGGGTGTGAATTAGAAGTGTCAGGGTTACACTTGAGTTGCGACCTTCGGGTCATGAACATGTCCGATTTTGACATAATCTTGGGTATGGATTGGTTATCCGCCCATCGAGCAATGATTGATTGCTACCACAAGAGGGTGACGGTTTGCACACCTAGTGGAACGTGTTTCCAATTTAAGGGGGATAAAAAGGATTCCCTGAGCACGATAAATCGTAAAATGCAGTGGCATCGACAATTTGCTGGATGGTTAGCAAGTTTGATCATTAATGAAGAAGCCCGATTAGAATTAAATCTTTCGCGTGTAGTTCGTGAATACGCTGATGTTTTTCCTGAAGAATTGCCAAGATTACCGCCGTATCGTGATGTAGATTTTAGTATTGAGTTACAAGCGGGTACTGCACCAATATCCCTAACGCCCTACCATATGGTTCCTGCCGAACTTTGGGAATTGAAGACGCAACTGCAAGAATTACTGGAAAAAGGATTTATCCGACTAAGTATCTCACCGTGGGAAGCACCAGTTCTATTTGCAAAGAAAAAAGACGGAACACTAAGATTGTGCATAGATTATCGACAACTCAATTGAGTGACGATTAAGAATCGATATCCACTTCCACGGATTGATGACCTATTTGACCAGCTTCGAGGTTCAATGTGATATTCAAAGATTGATCGTAGATCTGGCTATCACCAATTGCGGGTCGCGGATGATGATATACCAAAAACTGCTTTCCACACCCGATATAGCCATTACGAATTTGTGGTAATGTCCTTTGGATTAACCAATGCACCAACCGTGTTCATGAGCTTGATGAATAAGATTTTTACTCCGTACTTGGACCAATTCATGGTGGTGTTTATTGATGACATTCTAGTCTATTCATCGTCTGAAGAAGAACACGAGCAACACTTGAGAGTGGTTCTCCAGGTTTTAAAAGACAACCAGCTATATGCAAAAGCAGGTAAATGCGAGTTCTAGTTGAAGGAAGTCAAATTTTTGGGACACGTCGTATCGGAGCATGGGATCGCTGTAGACCCCGCCAAGGTAGAAGAAGTGTTAGATTGGAAGTAACCAACCTCAGTATTCGAAGTTTGTAGTTTCTTAGGGTTGGCCGGCTATTACCGACGGTTTATTCAAGACTTTTCTAAACTAGCCAAACCAATGACTCGTCTAATGCAAAAAGAGGTAAAATACGATTGGAACGAAGCATGTGAACAATCCTTTCAAGAACTCAAGAGGAGATTGACTAGTGCCCCAATACTCATCATTCCGGAGTGAGACGTAGGATATACGGTATATTGCGACGCGTCCAAGGATGGGCTAGGCTGTGTGCTAATGCAAAAACGGAAGGTGGTGGCTTATGGCTCCAGACAACTGAAACTGCATGAAAGGAATTATTCGACACATGATCTAGACTTGGCAGCAATGGTTTTTGCGTTAAAGCAATGGCGTCATTATCTGTATGGTGAACAATTTGAGATTTTCACAGACCATAAGAGCTTGAAGTATTTGTTCACACAAAGGACTTGAACATGAGACAAAGATGGTGGCTAGAATATCTCGAAGATTACCATTTTACTCTATCTTACCATCCTGGCAAAGCTAACGTGGTGGCGGATGCCCTGAGTTACAAGAACCGGGGAATTATTACTAGCTTGGCACTCAAGGAATGGGATATGGTCGAAACACTTAATGAGTTCAGAGTACATATGAAAGCTCAGGACAAGAAGGTATACCTTGGTGCTCAAATCGTTACGCCCAAATTATTGAACGAGGTAATAGAGTCACAGAAGTATGATCAGGAGGCAGCGTGCATAAAAGCGCGAATAGCATTTGGCGATCCTATACCTAATTGGACGATTCACTCAGATGGAAGTTTGAGACATCAGGGTAGAGTGTTTGCACCACAAGATGAGTCGTTTAGAGAAAAAGTTCTGAAAGAGTTCCATCATTCAGTGTTCGCAGTGCGCCTAGGAGGGACGAAAATGTACCAAGACTTAAAATGCCAATACTGGTGGAACGGAATAAAGAAAGATGTGGCTCAATTCATAGATAGATGCCTTACGTGTCAGCAAGTAAAGGCAGAACGCCAACGACCTAGAGGGATGCTTCAGTCCTTGCCAATATCATAATGGAAATGGGAGCATGTAACAATGGACTTTGTCACTGGACTACCCAGGTCACCTAGAGGACATGATGCTATATGGGTTATAGTTGATCGTTTGACAAAAACTACGCACTTTTTGCCATATAAAGTCTCAGACACTTTGATATCGCTGAGTCATCTCTACATTAAAGAAATTGTCCGATTACACGGAATTCCTATATCAATTGTGTCAGACCGGGACCCGCGTTTCACCTCCCGATTCTGGAGAAGCTTACAAGAAGCGTTAGGGACCGAATTATGTTTTAGTACTGCCTTTTATCCTTAAACTGACAGACAGTCAGAATGTACCATTCAGATTTTAAAGGACATGTTAAGAGCTTGTGTGATGGATTTCAAAGGGAATTGGGAGTGACACCTACCGTTGGTGGAGTTCACATACAACAACAGTTTCCAAGCCAGCATTGGCATGGCTCCATTTGAAGCACTGTACAGTCAACCTTCCAAATCACCAGTTTGTTGGACTGAAGTTGGAGAAGCGAGTCTATTGGGCCCAGAGATCGTGCAAGAAACTAAAGAAAATGTGAAACTTATTCGACAAAGATTAGTGGCA